TCTCCGTCTCCGCCGAACTCCGTGTCGAACGGCGGAGACGCTCCCCGACGCCCGATGACAAAGCGCCGGATACAGTGATGGGCAGTAAACCGTCCACCAGTCGACGGTCGCACGCCACCGGCGTACGACTCACTAATGCTGGGATGGGGAGAGGATGGACACTGTTGGCCCAACAGGGTCGGCCGGGAAGAGTGACCAGTGCAGGGAGAGGGGAGGGAGGGAGGGGAGCGGGAGATGGTTGTGGTGGGTCAGCAGCCTTGGGCAAGAAGCACGCGAGGGCTTCTTGCTCAAGGGCTCATGCATGAGACCGTTGAGTCATACTCTGCTCAACGTGACCTTGGATGGTAACCTGCTCATAAAAGTTAGTGTCTCCAAAGAAAATATCAAAAATGAAATGTGAAGAGACAAATACCAAAAAATAATCAATCACCTTCATGCCTATGATTCTTCTAGCTAAACAACACACGAATTATTCCCAATGTTCATCAGGCTCAGGTACGCGATTCATCCCTTTGTTTGCCACCACCGAGAGTGTGGCCAGTGCTCGGCTTCACGCATATCGCTCATTTGGGTCACCGTAACGAGCCGTACGCACCGGTCCACTGTGCTGTGTGATAGCACACACACTGTGCTGCACTGCTGCACCGTACTGCGAGCGACACTGCGGCATTACGTCAGATTACGCTACGCCGTATTGTGCGGCGCCAGTTTCGCTGCATTGCGCTGCGATCTACTGTTCCATTCAGGTGAGAGCGCCGTGAGTGTGTGTGTGAGCGGGTGACCCCCGTGGGGTGAGCGGAGCTCTGCCGCCTGCACGCCGGCCACCTCAGACTCTGTGCACGCGCCGCACCTCGACAGAGGAGAGCGACCCCCGGCCGGCCGGCCGGCCCACCTGGTCAGCGGTACCATTATGCGCCCGTGCACGGCGCCGCGCCGCCAGCCGCGCACAATTAGTGCTAATTCAATAGCTGTAAGGAGGCCGCTCTGCCGGTCTGCTGGTCTGCTGCCGCGCCGCAGGAGTCGATGGTAGCGCCCCGTGCGGCCGCGGAGGCACGGGGAAGGTCGGTATATGCAGGAGTGAGGAAGAACAGGACCCATGGAGAGCGAAGAGGGCAGAGGGAAGAGCGCGGATGGAACGGAGAACGGAAGAGGGGCCAAGGTGTTACGATGATTGAGCAGGGGAGCGTGAAGATCAGCTGAAACGTCACAGGAGGCTTAAAAAAAACTACCAAGGTCAAAGCGGGCTACCAGATCACAGTTGACTCCAATTACGTTAGACGACAGATGGTGAATGACTTAGCAACAAATAAACACCCACATACAAATATGCATTTCCATATGCTAAGCTTTGTGTCTCTCACCTTTGTTACCTACTTGCAATTGCAAGGAACAGAACGCTACCTGGCTGAACTATATAACGACTCTCAGAAAAAGATGCTATATAGGAATGTGCCTACAGAAACTTGAACACAATTAAAAACGTAATGGTTCGGTCTCCATCAGACAAAGGCCCATAGCGCAATGGTTTACCGGGACATTACCTCACGAGTGTGAGTGGGACGTGCTCGATCATGCGCCTCACTAATGGCCATTGGAGCGCGCACGGTCGCGCCGGCGTCAGGCCGACGGCGCCGAACCAGATGGCAGCCTCTTATCTTTCCGTAGGCGGCCGAATGAAATGGCACTGTAACGGAACCCGGTCCCAGCCATTTATTACCGTCGCCACTGGGCAGATGATAAAACAGAATAGAAATCGCCCACAACGAGAGCTCCAGGCGGCCTGAGCCCTGCGCGGCTCAACGAGCCGGATCGATACAGGTCGGCGCGACGGCCAGGAAATGCCCCGACAGTATGACGAAGGTGACCTTCTTGATGGCACAATATAGCATGCCGGCAGCCGCAATGACCAGGCCATTGCAAGTCATGAAGCAGGCGCCCTTTGACGCCAATTGAATAACCGAACTGAACTGGCAACTTAGCACCCGGCCAGCGCATTCAATTTTGTGCACGGCGGTTCACACTGGTGGCGCCAACCACAGCTCACTGAGCGGAGCGCTTATTGCCGGTATGAACACGATCTCATTAACACTCTCCCTCGCGCCCGACAGTCGCCCAGTTAGTGCTCAAAGCGCGGCCGACAGAGGCGTCGGCATTCAGAGGCGGTAAGATCGCGCAGCGCTCGTCCTGGACCGTCCTCGCAGTCCTCCACAGGGTCTCTGTGGCGCCCGGCTCACTCGATCGGCCTCTGCACTCTGCAGTGCCCAGTAGCCGGGGTCCAGTTCGGGCGACGAGAGGCGGCGGCCGGCCGCACCTGACGGACCCCACCGGGCGCCGCTAATACTCTAATTGATGCAAATCGGCCGCGCTGTTCGGCAATAATTACCTATCAGCGCAGCACGGCAGCTAATGGCTCGCTGCGCAGACGGGCCGCCGTCTGCACGCCTCTGCAGCGGCAGCGCGCGGCGCCGCCAGACGTCATCGGGGCGCCGGCAGACGTCATCAGAGCGCCGGCGCAGACGCCATCAGCGAGCGCGCCGTGTCGGCAGTGGGCGTCATCGAACGTCAGCAACTATTATCGGAACTTTTATGTTTTCATCAATAGGCACTGTAAGACGGAGGTGATGAACTGTCCACTACAGCTACCACAAACCAACCAGAGCTCGAAGTCACATGCACCACATACCACAATCCACCAAGGTAGAAATTTCAATGCAAGAAGCCTCAGCTCCCCTGCCATAATCACCATCTACCGCCAAGCTCCCACGCCCTACCCGGCAGTGACCTCAGGCAGTCCCAGTCCAGGTGGCTCATGAGACCTCCATCCCTCCCCCCCCCCCGCACTCGAACCGCCCACCCGCGCCACTGAGAAGCCATAAACCACGCGGTGCATAATGTGCGCTCTTTTACCGGGCGGTGCACGGTGGGGCACAATACCGCTCCGCCGCCGCCGGTCACGGAAGTACTCGGCGTCGACCGGCCAGTTACTTATGTACCCGGCGAGCCGCATGAATAAGCAAACAAACTGTAATTAGCGGTGTTAAATTCGCTCAAACGCCGGCAGGGCGGTGGCCGCCGGCGACGCTGGGCGGTGGGCGGGGGCGGGGTGGGGCGGGTGCAATGGGTGGAGTCGCCTGTACTGACTTCCCTGGCCAGGTGGCCAGTTAGGGAGGCCCATGAGCACCCAGTCGCAGGCTGTGCCATCCTGTATTTGTAATAGAAGCACGCAGAGACCCTCGGCGAAGGAAAGCGGTATTTGCAGCCAGCAAAAGGGTCTGAAGAAACAAAAAGGACGAAATTGTAGCTTGTCCCTCTACCTAGCTAAATATAAGGGAGCTCCGTAACCCTTAGTCACATTCACGTCCACGTCCACATCCTCTTCCGTCATCCCAGAGTTCCAGCCACACAGTCCGCCCCCGCGGTGGCACACCGGTGTCAGTTTTCCGCCAGGGCTGCGGTTTTCTGCCTGAGGTAGCTCCAACCAGCCGCCTCCAAAGGCACGTGCGGCGGTGGCAACGAGTGCACAATAGACAACAGTGGCGGTCACCAGCTGACACAATGTGCACGATGACATGCGGTGTTGACGGCAGCAGCATCTGGGGTGGTATGATAACGGCAACAGAGTCGCTGACGACAGTGAACTGAGGGATATTATGATGGAAGCGAGATGACGGGTTGGCAGAGGAAGGGGTAAAGGTGAAGGTGGCGTTGAAGTTTAGCTAAAATCAAAGTGAGGCAGCGTGGTTAAACGTGCCGATAACGGCTGAGTGGTGGGGATAATGATGAGGATGAGGATGAGGAATGATGAAGGGATAATGATCAAAATCGTGACAACGAACGCCTAACTATATTGAGCTCCTTCTTGTGATTGTGTGAACATCCTTTCGGCCAGCAGGTCATCGTCCACCATTCTAACATCTAAGCAGTAGCCGGGAAAACACCTCCATTGCCCAGTTTTCAGTCTGCCAGTCGCGACAGCCGTCGGCAGAACGCCCTCGAGTCACGGCGGCCCCAGCAGGGGTCACGGCAGCAGGTCGTCAACAAACTACCAACATGAAGGTAACAAATTACCAGCACCCTGTTCCATTTACAATATTTTTATGTGGTTTGCAGCCTGCAGCGGACACCACCGCCTCGGTGATTGGTAGGGTAAACTGTGGTTTAATTGCGCAGGGAGGTCGATAATTACCTTGTTTGACGTTTTGGCACACGAAAGGGCACGGTTCATTACAATACTGCATGCCTGCATTTGCGCCGCTGGTAGTTCGCTAGTGCTCGGCTGTGTTATTGAACCAATCTGTAAAGAGCGGTGTCCAATGGCACCCTGAAATGCACTGTTCAGGATGTAGACGGAAGAGCATTACTTATTAACAGCACTCATAACTACCGCCTGGCCCAAAGTGCATCGAGCCTGGCCTCAGTGCTGTTATTACCAGTTACCATCCAACCGAAAGAAGTGCAATCCACGGTAAGTGGGATTCAAAACCCAAACGTTGGAGCCGGGGAAGTGGCGGCGCATCCCTCGGGCAGGTACGGCTCGCGCGAGATTAAGCGGTAGGTTTTGCACTTTTACCTTTCCGTTTATATCTCAGAAACTAATCGATCTACGATGAAGCCATTTTACACGATCATGGCCGGCTTGTTACCCAACAAGTCGATCGCATCTTCAACACTTAAAAGCTGAAGACGACGAAGATATAGCCTGAAATACACTAAATTTTCTAGGTGCAAAACCTACCGCTAAAACCCGCGAGACGTGTACATAACGTCTGTTAAATACCGTATCCGTTCCGAAGCGAAGTGGAAGACCACAGATCCTGCTCCTTCACTTAATTAAGAAGAATGTGTGGTCGATGACGAAGATATGATGAAGACAGAAGAGAGAGAGAGAGAGAGAGAGAGAGAGAGAGAGAGAGAGAGAGAGAGAGAGAGAGAGAGAGAGAGAGAGAGAGAGAGAGAGAGAGAGAGAGAGAGAGCACATACAGCATGCCAGGGGTACTCACGTGATTCGCACGCTCCAGGTCCTCCAACACCATGTCCAGTTCGTCAGACCTGTGGGGAGACAAAACCCGCAGGGTTACATCAGTGTCACTACACGCAAGGCATCGCGACAGGCGGATTCCACGCCATCTCTTCGGCTAGAGGCGGAAATCATGGGGAGCAGGCAGCTGAAGCTGCAAGACACAAGCTGTATGAATCGCGATTACCGTCGTTAAATCGAAGAGTCGCACACCTAGCTCAAAGCCAGGAGATGTTGGTGAGCTACCAGGAACATGGTCCTAGTCTCAACAACTCTGTCTGAGCCTGATCATTAACTTCGTACGGCGTTCATTCATCAAGTTGTGTAACAGAGAGGAGCACTATAGCCCACGGGAGCTACGTCTCTTCGCAACTCTCGCACATATGGCGTTCGAAATGTCCCGCAGTGTTCGACGAATTTGCCTCTCGCACTTCGTGCCGCGTGTCAAGGTCACGCCGGCGGCCCCACCCCGAGCGTCGGCTAGTCACGTGACCATCGATGAGGGCATCAGCGTTCCGTTTCCTAATGACCATGCGGCACGATTGATAGGACAGGAGGCGGCGCGGCGTGCGCGCGGGTGTCGAAACGCACGCCACGGGTCCGGCCGGCGGCGCCGACTGTTGACTGCTGACCTCTGCTGACGGTCTGCTGGGTCAGCGGTGTGCCGCTGATGTTAGCAACTCGGGGCGGGTGTAACCGGAGAGCCGCACGCACACGGAGCGGTTGAGCAGCAACGCCACACAGAGCCGGTGTATTGGATGACCCAGCGCACCCACACCGCCACAGACAATGGGTCCGGCCGACAGAGTCCCGGCCACAATCGTGTCCACGCGCACACCGGAAAGTGGACCATTTGTTACAGATAACGCGTAGCTTTCTGAAAGAAGTGAATGTTGTGGTGAATGGGGGAGAAAAAGTTCGATTAAAGTGACGGATAATTACAAAATATGACTTCCAGAGTGAACATTCTTCACTTAAACACTTCCAATGCCTTTGGAAATACCTTGGAGACCCTGAAGAGCAGCGCTTGAGGGTAAAAAGGGGCAGGAGCAATTTTTCTCCAAGAGCTTTAGCGTTTCAGCAACCAGAAAAATGACAGATATCTGATATGGTTCTAACCATATCACATGAAACTGGTTGATTATACTGCCGGTTCTCCGAATCACGACACAACAGTTACACGCAAGGTAATATAGGTATATCAAATGCGCACCACAAGGATGACGTCATATAAAAAGAAAAGGCAGCGTTTGATGCTTACCTGGCGTGGGTGTTCTCCTCATATTTGGCCTTGACCTCGAACAGCTCACTTTGGCTCAGTTCGAGATCTGAAAATGAAGAAAATCTAGGTCAAACATACATGAATCAACTTAAACCGGATCGGCGGGACAAAGGAAAGTTATAAAATTCATTGATCAGGAATTGATTCAAACGTCCAGATCTCGAGGACTGGTATCATGTCTGTAGGTACTGATATCTGGTGACCACAAGGTATGACCACAAAGGGTGGGGAGGCAAGCTAGATACACAGCACACACACATCTTCACCACACTGAGACAAGACGGAACTCAAAGTGGCACAAAGACTTCACTAGCAACATGTCACCAATACCGCATGTTATCACCCTCGGTGTCATACTGTCAGCAATTACAGTAGCGGTGGCAGCAGCAGCACCTACAGCGGCAGTGGCGGCGGCAGGAGCAGAGGCAGCGGCCTCCCGCGGCGTCGACGACAGCTGCCGGCCCCACCGCACCGTGACTCGGCCCGGCGAAAATTGATATCGCTGTTGTTAATAATTACACGCTAATGGACTTTTGATGAGGCCGGCACCACTTCGGACAATGAGCATCAGCGCATTCGATTTTGCCGCATGCACAATGGTCGATTACCCGACTGGGACGGTAATGAGACGGACATCGTCTCTCTCAGCTTCGATTACCGGTGAGCCGCCGCCGCCGCCGCCGCCGCCGCCGGAGGCAGTCGTCAGCTGCGCAGCCGCTTTTTACACCGCCGACGGCGTCGCGATCGTAAAGTCGCCCTAAATTCACAAAATGATATGAATCGAGGGCCAAGTTTTGGCGTAAGTAAGCGACAGGTCCGTATCTACGGTGACAGATCGGCCATAAATGCGAGAGCGTGCCTGAGGGATGAGCGCAGCTGGGGCGACATTCAGAACACCGCCGCTCCAGAAACGCGCAACTATCCAGAAACGGTCGGAAGGCCCGAAAGGAGGAATTTCGAAAGAGCTGAAAACTCCTGCGTCGCCGAGCCGAGCAGGCGCACATCTCCAATGACCGATGAGCGAATCACCGTGCCACTCGACGACGTGCACCACAAGTGCGGAATACAAGGCGCTCAGGCAGTATAACTAACGAGCGACTTTATCTTGCAGCGCGGCTAACTATGCGAATGGTGCCTCGTAGCTCACTCAGGGAGCCGCCAAAAGTTGCCGGAGCTCGCAGCCAGCCGAGCGCGGTGTGCACGCTCCCAGACGTCCTCATTTAGTGGAATCGACACTATCACGTTATTCGATCGGCGTACCCTTTGAAGTCGGTCTCGGCGACTGTCGGAGAGCGGCGGCGGCGGCAGGAGTGGCGGTGCCACGGGCTGACGGGGCGGCCAGCCGTCGAGTGGGAGTCATCAGCTGGAGGCCACCGGCCGGCCACTCTCATCAGGGCCGGCACCAATTAGATCGGCGCGCGCAGCGCCCCAGCAAAGTAATGACGTCTGATTCTACAGCTTCACTAATGTGCTGCACACAGGGAAGGCTCGAGAGCCGCCACACTGGCTGCCGAAATAGAATCGAACAATTAGGGCGAAAGGTATGCCGAGGTCAGGTGAACTTAAAACCGACTGCAGTGTAACATAAGCCAGCATATTTCTCCAAGCGATTGCATTTTTTTGCATACTTTCTACGTCGCTATATTTTTTAATTATCCCTTCGTTCAAAAACGTTTTAGGCAGTTTTAGTTGAAAATCAGCAAGCTTTCTTCCACATCCAACCGTGGTCTACCAGCAGCGCCTGTTTCGCGACACCTCAGGGAGGTAAGTCAGCAACAAGAAGGATGTCTGCAATCAGGGCCTAATGGCGTCTGATGACATCCTAGCACCTGCTGAGGATGACGCACCTCCACCAGCCGCATCAGTTGACCCCGCGACCGGAGGCCGAGGTCAGTTCACCACGAGCAAGTGACTCCTCCCCGGCTATTGGCCGTCTCCGCCGCCCGCCGTGCGCTCGTCACCGCCTCCGGTCGCCTGGTCCGACCACAAAGGGGCGGCTCGTTCATCGTCGCGGCTTCCGACCGCGGCGCATCGAACTTTTCCCACACTCTTAATTAAGCGGCATATGATTTCCAGTGACCCTGAATGGATGGTGTGGGAACAGCGGCCGTCGCGCATCGGCACGACATTCCAGAGCCTGCAACAGCCGGCAGCGACCGGACGCGGGCCCCAATAAGACGCCGGAGCCCAGATGGCCGACTGTTCAGCGCCCTCAGTGCTCGGGCGCCGGCAAATGGCACGCTTCCTGTCTGAAGCGGAGGCTCGGTGCGCTCAGAGCCGCCGGCGGCGACGCAGAGTCATTTGACCGCGCACATTCAGAACGGCCCCCTCGTCTAATCAGTCAGTAAATGAAGAGCATAGACCGCGACTCTGAATTGCCACCACGGGGACACAAGGCGCGACCCACAGTCAGAGCAGAGAAGCCGAGCGGTCAGCGCCACGTTCCCTGACAGACTACCATGACGAGGCAGTATACATACACTATACAATATACCCTTTACAGTCCACCTCTGGGCTCCATGCGCCATACAAAGTTGCACACTGGCAGCCGTGTCCACACACAGACACAGCCCGTCATGAATCAGCACCTGGCCGCAAAGGCGGCAGACGTCGAGAACGTGCGGCGCCGGCGGCCGGCCGGACGGGCGGACCTCTCGACAGGGCGCAGCGCACCGCGCCGGGCCGTCGAGCGGCAAGACAAAGCGCTCGCTGACACACCGGGCGACGCAAATGCACATCGGGCCGACCCGTGCCGGCGAGCAGCGTGCAATGTTGCAACCGCGCGTCGAGAGCACTGGGCATTGTTCGCGCACAGCGGCCGGGAAAAACGACCCACTCTCTCCTCTCGAGCTGAAACCCGGCTGCCACTTTACAGCACATAAACTATCCACACCCCGGACGGGCACTGAACCAACTGCAGCCGCCCACATAAAACCGGATTTAAATCCCCTTTTAGGATCGTCTGATTTTATTTCGGCTGTTCGATCTGTTCATTGTAATCCCCTGGCTCGTGTAAACCATCAGACTTTGTTGTGGGAGAGCTAAATAAGCCGTAGTCGCCCGAACACCAGCGCTGTAAAATCATTCCGATGAAAGAAAACACCCACGCTTTCCTCATGACGACCACTCCACGCAACCATTCACCGGGTGACATCAAGTAAGCAGGTTACCTCACCGGCTACCAATGTCTTCACGTCATACGTCTAAACACCTCGCACCATGTTCGTACGTGGTGCAGGTTCACGCTCAATCCCCGTCAGCCCCGTCCCACGGTTGGACCTGGCATTAACCAGTGCCGGCAGGGTTTGAGGAAGGGCGACCGGAGCAGGGAGGTTGATCAGAAATTTTCAAGGAACCAGCCAAGAAGATAGCGGAGTTCCTCCGGATAGATTTTCAAGGAAACGGCCAAGAAGATACGCGGAATTCCTCCAGAAAGTGGGGCGCATCGACCCCCCCCCCCCAAGTCGACGCGCTTCCGCAACGGACCCCATAGGGGGCCCTTGCGTGGCGTGCAAGAAGAAAGAGAAAGAGAGAGGTTGATCAGACTGTACTCACCGCTGGTCAGCTGGGCCACGCGGTGCTCGGCCTCAGCCAACCGCCTGGTCGACAGCAGCTGCTCGTCGTGGTACGTCTGCTCTCGCTCCTGGAACTCACGCAGCAGGTCGCGCTCCATCTCCTTGGTGCGCTCCTGAGGGGGAACAGAAAAGGAGTCGATGTCAGGGATATGTTAGCTCCGTGGCGCACCCATGAGAGAACAAAGAGCAGGTACAGGTTAGGCCAGATAAGAACTCCTTGTAAGTTCCTGAGGAACACAAAAGAGACACAGGTTAGGTCATGTCACCTGACTGGGGGTTGACAAGAACGCAGAAGAGGAATAGGTATAGTGAACTTAGCCTCTTCGTGGACTTCACACTCAAGCCTGTCGATGGTCCACTTCTTACATGCATACAGCGGCCATCCAAAGAGCCCTCACGACCTCGGCTGAAGACACGACAGCGTGACAGTATTTCTTCCAACTCCTCACACTTCCGCTTCAGCTGAAGGACTTCAGTGTGTCAGAGGTCTTTATTTACCTTTACGTCTACTCCATACCCATCTCCACTTCAGTTGAGGACAGCACAGCTTGGCGTTCGTCCCTCCATCACCTCCCTCTCCGCCTCACCGACAACGTGTGTGCGTGTCCCGTGAAATGCGCCCTGGTCGTGCCGGCGACGCACTTCAACCCGTCACCGCATGACCAATTAAGCTAAAACAGAGACACGGATGGCCCGTTAGCTGGACGGGCGCAGGCAGAGGCACGCTTCACCGAGGAGAAATTCGGGTCGGCGGTGACTGTGGCGCGGCCATTTGTCGTGGACCTGGCCAGGGAGGCACCTGGTGGGGCGGGGCGCCGGGTCGCGCCGCACAATGACAGGTGACACGGGCAGCCCCGCCCGCAGCTACCGACACCTCGCGTGGCGAGGGATACTGGACAAGGCAGAGCCACGCCCAGCTGTCTTCCTCTCTAGTGGGGAACGGTGGACATGTAGTAGTTTTCACAGCTGCCAAGGTAGCTGAGGAGCATTGAAGCCTATAAAATGACACAGACATGAAACCAATTCTTTTTGGTTGTAGGCTTAGTTTGTATAAGGTAACATGACACGCAGTCGTAAGATAAAGCACAAGATGTGAGCAAACGGACAAATATTCTGATCTGATGTGTTATCATAGGCGAACGGTGCCAGCCCATCCCTGCCGCAGGAGAAAAGTGAACAACCAATGGCTGCAGCTGGTCCGCCTACCGACCAGCCCGACCGCCGCCGCCGACCGCTGCTGCAGTCCTGTCTATCATTCATGCCATTAATGTTGCACAGATATCTGTGGAATCAATACCGACTGGCCGAAGGCCCAGGAGCGCATGACGCCAGATAGCTATCGCAGGCCAGCACGGCGCCACAGTTGGCCGCAGCAGGTTTCGGGAACCGCCATGACATTTATAATCTATAGCGGCCGGCATTGGCGGGGTTCGTGAGCCATCTCGCGATAACGCACGCTCCAAAAGACAGAAATAATAAGCCGGAAGTCGAATACGATCGCCAGCATGACGATTAAGTGATTATTTGAGCCAAGGTCTTCCATGGGATTGCCAGTATGGTGACGTAACCAGGGCCAAGGCGCAGAACCACCAGAGCGTAAGGGTTTTAAAACGTCTGTGACCGTGTGACATCTTATCGAAACAATCACCAATTGTCGAAACCACAAAGAAACCCGACTCCAAAAGAGAGTACCTACGAGCGACGTTATCTGTCCCCCATAACAACCATCACAGGATGTGGCAATGGCCGGTAAACCGCTTGAAACACGAGACCATGATGCAGAACTATGAGCTGCGATTAGGTGCGGCAGCCCAGACAATGAGTTCCCAACAATAATGGCAAAACCTTCAGATATTCGATGCAGAGATCAGCAGAAGCCAGCCAACACCTGCGTGGCGGCTGAGAAGCACATAACGCTTCTACCGCGCACTCAAGACCTAGCGCTCTCCATGATCAGCCGTCTATCACCCCAATGGATCACAAGTCTGTCAGACATCGTCACAAGCCTGGCCGGCACGGGCTTCCGCCACGGGTCACAGGCCTCGGCACGCTCCCCCGGCAGCCGGGGCCCTTTTTGCGGCCCTTTGAGGCGGCGCGGCGGCGGGGCTCGGTTTACGGGCACGGGTCCGCCGAGGAGCCTCCACAAAACACAGCGCCGGCAGGAAACGCCGGATCAATTCGACATTGTCTACTTCACAGGGGACCGCACGCCGACGGTCGGTCGCAGGGGTGGGCGCCACGCCGGCGTGACACCACACGGCCGCCACGTCAGCTCGGATGAGGCGTCTGATGTGAGGGTGATGTGGAGTGACGTGCGTGCGCCGGCCGCCACAGCTCGGTCCGCCGCGGTTGACCGACCAGCGCGTCACATTGTCACCATCGTCACCGCTCGGCCGCCGACCGCAGCACTCCGCCCCCGAGCGGTTAGCCGACCCCAAACGGGGCGCGCGGCCGCTCGAGCGGTGCCGGTGTGGCCGCGACGGGCTCCACTAATCCCCGGCGATGAATGGGGTACGAGCGACCGGCTGACGACCGGTAGCCGGGGTGGAACGGCCCTGTCCACCGGCCGTGCAATCCGACGCCCACCGCCACCCTGCCGGCCGGCCGGACCGGCGCACTCGACGGCAGACGGCAGAGGGACCCTGGTGGGACTGCTGGGGAGTCGGAGATCGCAGGGAACGCTGCACTGGTCACGGTGCACAGCAGCCAGATAGTCAATGGATGCCTGACATCATCGAGCATAGATATGAAACCAAGAATATTTGGTTGGTGGTTAGAAGCTACGAGCTTTTAACGGTCGCCATGATCGGCGGTACCTAATGCTGCAGCATCTGTTCAGATTAAATCGTCAATGAACGTGAATGCAGCGCGCAATTAGTCCAAGGGTCACCGATGACCGGAAGCCAGCAGCGGTCATTCGCCCTCTGGCGCCATCCCGACTGTCTCAGTGACCGTGCAATGAAGCTGTCACGTCGGCGGAGGCGGAGCCGGCAGCTCATGTATTATGCAGCTGAAGGAGCGCCCCAGCATCTCCCGGTCGGCCCGCTCCGCCAGCGGACAGCTCCATCTGGCCGCGGCCGCACACGGCCCGTAAATCGGCCGGTGACAATATTTACTGCCGCCCCAGGCGCACTGCGACCGCTCCGAATGGGCTGCACTCGGCCGGTGAAGGCGCCACGACCGACCCCTGCACTGAACCTGCCGGAGTGAGCGGCGCCGGGGCGTCACCGCGACCGCTGACTGACCCCGCGGCAGGGGTGGACAGGGCAGACGTCCTTTGTCCTCGCGCGGCTACTGCAGCGCTGAAACGGGCGCCGGATCCAGTGGCAGGTGTGGAGCGGGCGCCGTCTCCGCCGCCGCCGTTCGCCGCGCGCCCTCCTGCACGGTCTCAGTGTTCGTTACGGCCCTCCCGCCGCCGCCGAGCTGCAGACGAACAGCGCCAGCCGGCCAGCGGCGGCCGGCAGCCGGCGGCGCCACCGATTATTAGAAACAGATTCGGCGTCGATAAATGTGATTTAGCGGCTATAAAGGTCGAGCTGGGGCGGCCGTGTGAAGTGTGGCCGGTCGAGGGACGGGCAGACCGGCTCCCGAGGCAGAGAAGCGAGCGGGCCGCGGAGCCGTCGAGCTGCGGCCACGGTCATGGAAGTACCACTGCACCGGCGCCGGCAGGATGACACCGCCGATCTGCCGACCCGATAGCACGCCGGCAAAACGGTGACACCCGCGGCACCGGGAACATCAGATGACTGGGTGACTGGCCGGGCGCTATCTTTGGCGCGGCGGCGGCGTTTCCGACACAGGTGCACGACCACGAGGTGTCACCGGACACATTACCGCCAGCACGGCACAGCGCGCGCGGCCCAGTCCTCGCCGCTTTCCATCGTCTGTCTTCAGCGCACCATTGCCCTCAGGGTGACGGGCACTCGGAGCTAAAGTGTCGCATGGCGCCGACAGCCAGCACGCCACTCGTTCCGCCAGCTGCACTTGATTCACCGGTCAGCTATTTGAGGGTGACTGTCACCCCACACGACTGGCAGATTTAGAGCGGCAAAATGGGCGATTCGATTGCCGTATTTCCCAGATTTTCAGCGGCGCCCCAAATGCGTGGTAACTCTGGCTTAGTCATGCATTTATATAAACCGCAAAATACCTAAGCATTCGGATAGTATGCTGTGCACTGTGCTCTGTGCGGTGCGGCACTCACCTCAATAATGCTTTCTTGATTGGTTTCAAACTGGCGGATTTTCTCTTCCAATTGTTTGATGGTGACTCCTGCAACAAAGAATGAAAACTGTCAGTGAAGTGAATATGGCATCAAATACACTACATAGTTCACTGCTGGGGTTGGTCTGTGCATCCAGACCAGTCCATCAGACCGGGTCTGCAGGTCTGCCGGTGGCCGTCCGAACCGTGCGCCGACACACGGTTTCCGGGGTGGATTTATTCCGACACAAACACAATGGTCGATTCGCTGCGGCGCTGCCGCGACTCGGCTTCGGACACGCCTCTGGACAGCGGCCAAAGCCACGGCCGGCGCCGGCGCCGCCCGTCGATCACAGGCAAACAAAGGAGTTAAACTCGGGGATAGCTAATTAGAGCCATAACGAAAGAGAAAATGAGAAATCATAGCTGGCGGCACGCTGGCGACTGGGGAGATAGGCCGGCCTCCGCCCGGACTGCGCTGCTGGCATTGATCGGACCCACTAGAAGGCGATTCGTATAATTGGGATCTCAAAGTAAACAGCTTTAATTAGCGACGAAGCACAGTTGATTAAAACCCGAACGGAATAAAGACGCATTTGAAGTCGGAGTCGCCACCGCCGGCGGGGACGCAGGGCGGGGGCGGGGGATTCCGGATCGGTGCGGGAGTTCCGGCTGGCCTCGTATCCTGAAAGGACTCCGGGAGCACCACTGAATGAAATCAACGTCTGAGTAAGGCGCACCACTGACATCATATAGCATTGACATTAAGTGACGTGAGCTCTCTTTACCACAAGATCCCAGCTTTTCCTGAGGACATCGATAGGAGGGATACCGCCACCAAGCAAGGGAAGAATGAAATCAAGTAGTTTATTTCAGTTCGAGTGCAGCCGAAGGGAGGGGAGGAGGGGGCCTCGACCCCGCCCCATCAGCAGCGCACGGCAGGGACATTTGCCTTGAGGTCTAATTAATCCAGAGGATACCTAACGGCCAGAGTAATGGATCGATTTCATTAGGCGCTCTTCATTATGAGGGGATAGAGCGGGCGTTTAAACAAGGCGGACCTCATCTGGCTGGCAATCGCCGCTGGCAGCTCCATCCCTCAGCGGAGAGTGTCACCCCAAAACACAATGCAACGGGCAGTACAGACCTCAGCGGATCTGCCCAGGACCCGACGCAAAACAAACTGCAGCGGGAAACTCGGTATCTCAGCAGGACGCTGAGCTAAGATCTGCTGAGGTATGCATCAGTCCCAGTGCGAGTTGTCACGATACCTTTCGGGTTCAAACATGTTATGATCCTGACCATTTTCTCATCGCTGGTTTTGCTTATACTGACATCCTATAAGAGCGGCTACAAGCTATGATGTGACGCTGATGTCCAGGAACAAGAACCGAGACTGATGGTTACAAACCGATCCTGAGGAACGAAGATCATCCCGAGGGTCGAAACCATCCTGAGGAAGCGATAGCCGCTCCTGTCTCACCGAGTCGCAGCCCGCAGCGGCAGAGCAGGAGCCGAGGACCTTACTGATGGTGGACGGGCTGAGGACCTGAAAGAAGACAGCATCCCACGGCGGCAGAGCTGGAGTCGAGATCGAGAACCTTATGGATGGTGGAGCTAGGGATGAGGACCTGACTGACGGCCACAGCCCACGGCGGCAGGCTCGGGTTATCCTCTGATGAGCCGACCGGGCACCCAGGCCAGCCCGATCAGCTGATTGCCTGTCGGTGGGCGCCGCCCCAGCGCTGAGCACGCTGCGCCGCTATCGCCGCCAGCGCGTCACAATAGCGACAACCGGCAATTAGCGGCGCGCCGGAGACGAAGCCGACGCGTCACACTCGCAGACACACCGGCCGAACGCCAATAAAAAGATATGAACGCCCGGTAAAAAGGTTCTCTCGGAAAATTGGCCGGCCGTCGGGACGATGGGATGTCGGCGTCTGGGGGCGTGGCGTCGTCAGGGGTTGGCCAGATATGGACACAACAGGTTATTAGACGAATTGACCCGAGAGTGCCCAAAAGGTGATGCGCATTACACATGATCAGAGTGAAGTCTAGACGTGAACCCATTCGCTTGGACCTTGGGGGGAGCCGAAAGGAATTTCGTGACAGTCGACTTCCAGCCCCACAGCCGCATCGCGAGTACATAATTTAAAGCTATTCGAGGCACACATTTCCAATGAGTCGCGTAAAACACGCGCAGTTTCATGCTAAATGACTGCAGACGACACTAGCATCGGACATCGGCACACCAAAATCAGTCGGTTCGATTTGTTGTCACAGGACTTAAAGCGACGCTAATAATATCCAGACAAGAACATTCAGCGATGTCGTTCAGCCCGTAAATCTGTCGCCAATCTTTATCACACAAGCGTCGATAACGTCCATCAAACTGAAGTTTCCATTCACAATCGAGGCAAAACTGCCAGTTCCAGGACAAAGTGGAGTCTTTAGCATGACATCATGACAGATCGTTCAACTTGTGATAAAACAAGCCGCGTTCGATCGCCACTTCAGGAAAGTTTATCAGGTTCGCGCTGTCAGGATTGTGAGGTTGACGCTAATAACAGCCGCATGCACGCGATAACAAATGCTCGATTATCGAAAGCACCGTTTACAAGGAAATCGGCGGATTTTTGAATAGCTAGTTGATCGTTTCCCCGATAATCCAATACAAGCACGCCAAAGGCGATTTATTAGACCATTTATCACCGACGAACAGAGACCCACAACAGAGACATTCTCACACCAGTTTCGCAGCAAACCGCAAAACAATGGAATCCCTCCACCTGGACCAAATCCATACCGAAGTATCGGGGAGTTTTGTTCAGCACCACATGAGATTCCCACATCAGCGCAGCATTGCTGATCGTCGTGCCAGTCAAGCCATTACCAAAAAGATACGACCACTAAAGGGCGTCGCATCCATTCAGTGACTTCATCCAGCGACTACCTATTTAATAGCCTGATGCAATTGTGGTCTAGCGTCACATGAAGCTCAGTCCGCAATGCTTCAACCATTGCGACCAAGATTCAACCAAGATTTAGTCATTGCACAACAAATGACTAAATCTTTGCAGGTTGATCATACCATAACCCACTCTGTACTGGGCAGTAAGGGATGCAGTGAGCATCCCTTAGCGCAGTTTCCAATGGGAGTCGGACGTATCATGCTGTATGCCAGCCAGCCAAGTATGCTGAGGGCCGACCACCCCAGTACCCTCTCCGCACTGTGGTCTGCCGCGCCGTTCCTGCGAGGACCGGTCCGGTGCGGACGGGCGCCTGTGCGGCGGGGAGCCCCACGCTGTGCTGACGAGGCGCATCGCCGGCTTATTCAGCCAGCGCACAGCGGTAACGGCGCCACTTCACGGCCTCTCAGGGCGCTCACAGCCGGTAGCCAGCCAGAGGTCACGATGGGGTCGTCAGAGGACGGTCAGCAGGGGAATGGTCAGAGGACGGTCAGAAGTACGCAGGGGACGGTCAGAGAGATGGCAGAAGACCTCAGGACCTCAATAGGGCAGAGAGGCGGTAAGAGAATGTGAGGAGCACTGCGGCCTGTCTTGAACTTAGGTTCGAAACGGTTAAGTTTCCTTTGATTTGGTCAGAATTGCCGACGGCACCGACCCGGTTTGGCTCAGGTGGTAGGACTTCTATGATGTGAGAGGAGAGAGAGACTGGATCTGGCGACCCCCGGTGGCACCCTTCTGACGCGGATCAGACTAACGTGACGCAGAGAAGTCTAATGTGAGCTGAGTCATCGGCGTGACCGCGGCACGGCGGCCGGGTCAGAGCTGCCGGCCGCGGAGGGAGTGGGCACACGGAGATAAAGAGCCGATACGTTCCCAGACTCCGGCGGGCGGAGGCTGCTGATTAGGGCCGCCCGTATAAATACAGACTCATGTCAGTCCCGCGGTCTCACGGAATGCGACTGACAGCCAAGGTTAGGACCGACACACCACTCAGCGACAGCTCAGGTGAGCTGAGCTGCGACCCGAGCTGGGCTCGATCATGCGTTCCGCTCACCTCGTGTGACTGCCCACGGTAAAAACACACACAATTGAGACATCCACCGGTTTCAGAATGTTAATTGTGTTGATCGGGTCGCCGTGCCGTGCCGTGTCGTCCTGTGTGGCACCATATCGGGTTAGGACCGGCCGGACCCGGTCACAGTAGCACGACAGCTCAGACGCCGGACCGATCGGTGTCTGCCGGGGCGCCGCCAGTCACGGAGACGCCGTGACGGACGCCGTGACCGTCAGCTGTGACGAGTGACGTGCCGTGAGGCGGCTTTTTGTCGCCGCCGACGGTATCGGATCGACGCGGCGCCGAACATGACACCGTCTCGGTGCAGCGACTCCAGGAAGTGACGCCAGCACCACCAACGGGGTGCCCGCCCGCAGCAGGTAAAAACGGACAATCTCCATCGTGTGCATGCAACTATTCTAGCTGATTTTCAGCGTACGTGGCAAACGCTTGCGATGGACATATAAAAACACATAATTGCATGTCGATATTATTTGATACCGTTTTAAAATATGCAATTCCAAATACCAAATACAATTCAAAAACGCATTTATAATGGTTTCGCAAGTAAAAACGCCAATGTTGCTACGAACAGCTAGTCAAAAACCTTCCACGTAACCACCATTTTCCCTTCGGATTCAGATAGATAGACCTCACGCTGCATCACATCCTGGTTTGTGTACCGCTGTATCGCCGCGCTCTACATACAGCAGCTGCATTAATGATAACCACTGTGTGCAGCACTTTTAGTACTGATTGGCCACATATTCCAGACTGATTGTAATGCTGATCTGCCATGCCTCACATTCCAAATGCATGTCGGAACCATTGGCTGGCCATACCTCCCATATCGACTGCATGAACCACTGATTGACCATCCCTCCCATCCCATACAGTCATGTCTGTACTGCACGGATTGTCCATATCTTCTGTCTTTAGTGCTGATTAGCCATTCCTCCCATACCGACTGTTCGTACTGCCTGATTGGCCATGCCTCCCAGTTCAACTGCACTACTGATTGGTCATAGCTCCCATACCTCCTATGC